TCCCAGATGAAATCTGATCAGCAGTTAAGCCATCTGGTATTGGAAAGAAGGTGAATTCGGGGTGGTTTGAAGGGTTTGGAGAGTTGAAATGGGTGTGAACAATTGAAATGGAAAAGCCCTTTGAGTGAAGGAAGGTACCCAGCTTAAGCATTGGGTTTATGTGGCCTTGGTACGGGCATGGAACTAAGACCAACAGTTGACCACTCTCTGCTTTCTTTTCCATCTCTCCCCCCCCTTCCCTCTTCCTCTTCTGTCTCACTGATAAGCTGGCACACACAGACGCACAAAGACACTCAATAGCTTGTGGCTATGGAAGCTTTATATTGCTTGACTGTCTCCTTGAAACTCATTGGGGCTTGAGTATGTAATATATATAGAGACCATGCAAAGCAGATAATATTTAGATAAGCCAATGAATAAGTTTGTCTTTTTCCATTTGTTTGGAACATAAGCTTGTAGTTCTCAGCACAGCTGGCTGCTGCAATTCATTGATTGATATTGAAAAGTATATTGGCTGGTTCTTGTGTCTGGTATTAGAGGAAGAACTGACTTGATGTAATAGTTCCTAAACATCTTTGTCAAACTTGGCTGCATCTTCATGGAATAAGTCCTACTCATCCTCTTTCAGCAAACAATGACTAGTTGTTTGTTACATGATAGTATTTTTTCCTTATGTTAATAATTTTATTGTCATGATTTCTTATTAAGTTCAAGCAAGAAATTGATGAGCCAGCATCCTCTATTTATTTGGTACGCCGTGTCGTCTTGAATTTTCATTTAATTATACTTTTGATATAATTCTACACCCTAAACCCTATGCTTAATAGTCAATCTTTATAAATCAAATGGTGATGGTCATAAGCACGTAACAACAACAACATGAACAGATAAACAGGTTACAGATGATCTTATTTATTTCACAAGGGACATGTTTTTGAAAGTGGAAACAATATTTTGACTCTTACACGATGTACATTACTTATTTATCAGAATGCAAAGAGGCCTAGCATTCAACATCTCCCACCAAATACTGTAAGGATGGCTTAGGGGAAGGGAATGATTATGTTAATTTCTTCCAGAAAGCATTTAGTTGAGAAAAGAGAACAAAACACTTCTCGTTCCAATTAAAATGACCTTATAAACTCCACAAGCTCATTCAAGGAATGGTAGGTAGAGCCACCCTTCATACTAACTTCTATTTTCTCCTTCAACTCCTTGGCCCTCACCCTCATTCCCTTCCCATCCTCGTCCACCATAAGTTTTTTAACAGTTCTCTCTATCACTCCCCTCTCTAATTCATTCTCCAATTGTATCCCTATTTTCCATACTTCGCTCACATACCTTGCATTCACCTTCTGATCGGTAAAGCACGGCCTGCATAACATCGGAACCCCTTCAGATATACTTTCCAGGGTTGAGTTCCAACCACAATGGCTCCAGAACCCGCCCACTGCGCCATGAGCCAAGACTTCCATCTGGGGTGCCCATTTCACGATGCAACTTCTTTCTCCAACAGCTTCTAGGAAACCTTGAGGCAGTAGCTCGATCCAATGAGAACCGCAAATTGATCCGGGCCTAATCACCCACAAAAAAGGTTGCCTGCTCTTAGTTAATCCCCAAGCCATTTCGGCTAGTTCTTTCTCACTGATGGATGCTAGACTCCCCAAGCTTACATAGATAACTGAGTTATGGGATTGTTTGTCCAGCCACGCAACACAGCTGGTGTCTTCTTCTAGTAAACTACTGTTGGCTGCTGTTGAAACTTTGTGAAGAGGACCTATGGAGAAGATTGGAACTTGACATTGTTGCTGGATCTGTGCTAGTGATGATTGTTCAAGGCAGTCCAGGGTGTTCCAAATGATGGCTGAGGATGTCCTAACATTGTTGGCATTAGTCAATAGTTTCGAATAGTTTTCAACTGTGTCGAAAATATAGATGGGGAGATCCTTGAACCTGAGGGGATGAAGCTCGGGCACCGAGTTCAGTAACGTAGAGTCTGTGATCCCGAGTTATAGTGTTAGTTATAACTTATAAGAAAAATAAACACCGTACTCTAAGACAAATGACTCAGGCATTAGCCTCTTTCCTTGTTTGCAGAAAGAAGCGTAGACAAGAGGAAACAGGGCACATACCTGGGAAGGGAGTGCAACCTTTCAAATGAAGTCGTATCAAAGCATTGCGAGCAATAAAATTGGTAGCACTTTGCGTGCGTAAGAGTATTCTTGGAATGTTTAGATCATTAGCCACAGATTCAGAGAAGTACATAAATTCATCATAGATGATGCAGGTGATTTTGTTCTGCGATTCTTGTTCCATCACTCTATCAGTCAAGCATTGTTTGAAACTCGCTTTGCAATTGGCATTAATAGCAAACACAATAGCTAATACATTCCCAGATGAAATCTGATCAGCAGTTAAGCCATCTGGTATTGGAAAGAAGGTGAATTCGGGGTGGTTTGAAGGGTTTGGAGAGTTGAAATGGGTGTGAACAATTGAAATGGAAAAGCCCTTTGAGTGAAGGAAGGTACCCAGCTTAAGCATAGGGTTTATTGTGCCTTGGTATGGACATGGAACTAAGACCAACAGTTGACCACTCTGTGCTTTCTTTTCCATCTCCTTCCCTCCCTCTTCCTCTTCTGTCTCACCGATAAGGGCGGGCACACGCGCGCGCACACACACACACAAAGACACTCAATAGCTTGCGGCTATGTAAGCTTTATATTGCTTGACTGTCTCCTTGAAATTCATCTGGGCTTGAGTATGTAATATTATAGAGTAGCCGCCCTTCAGTCCTGCAGAGACCATACTAAGCATATAATATTTAGATAAGCAAATTAATAATAAGCTTGTAGTTTTCAGCACAGCTGGCTGGTGCACTTCATGAATTAATATTGAAAAGTATATTGGCTGGTTGTTGTATTATATTATTTACCGTCATGTTGAGGACATGAGTGCGAAAATACTGTGACATGTTCCTCGTAAAGTTGGTATGAAAATTCTGATGATTATGAGAGTCATGGATCATTGCAGTTAAAAGCTGGGTGGATTAGGATTCCCAAATCTGCTGCTTCATTATTTATTGATTCAAGAGGATTAGGCTTAAGAATTGGGTTAAACAAAAGCAAACAAAGCCCATGATAAGATATCAAAAGCGAAAAAGTAAATGTAACTTTAGATAGAGTCGAACATAAGAAATCTAAGGATCATAATGCCACTCAAAGAGTTTCAAACAGACGAAAGCATTTTACTAAAACATGAAACCAGAAAAGCAACACATACAATTCAGGACAGGAACCAGGCAAAGCCTCAAAAACGCAAAACACAAAGTAGCAAAATTACGATCATGATGGCAATTATGTTACAAGAAATCACTCCTTACATTGATGACAATTGACACTCCAAAATCAAACAAAGAAATACATAATGTGAAATGCAGTAGAGAATACAGAGATATCAATGGCCTTGGCATCAGGCTTCTTTGGATTTTTCAAATTTTTTCAAAAAGGAATAGTATACTATACCCAATTTTCCCCCTCTTTAAAAAAAAGAAATAGTATAGCCGCGCGTCTATACTTGGGTTTTCCAATTTTTAATAAAAGAAATAGTCTCGCCGCGCGGCTATACTCGGTTTTTCCAATTTTTTTAAATTCATTGAGGCTCTCCTCAAATAGTACTGTTGAATTCCTTTAAGCCAAATTTTCAATTTCGTCTCAAATCATTGATGAAATTGAGCATTCATTGTTAATAATCAAGACACGTATGAAATTTTTTAGAATCTTCTGAGGTGTTGGTGCAATCTGGAGTTGGTTTCGAAAAATCCTAACATTCAATCAGTTGTTCATTTACAAGGCTAAGGAAGCACGGGCTGCAATGGAGACTTTTTTTTTTTCCAGACCAGCCGCTGCGAAGCACCACGGCGACCGCCTTGACTTCACCGACTAGCACATTCAGATCTTGATTCCACCCAAAAGAATATGATATCGTTCTCGATTATTAAAGAAAAAGAAACAACAATGAAATAAGCAATTAGGCCTCATCATTTGGCCCGCGGGCTCATGGGCCGATGGGGCCCGCCCGGCCCATTGGAAAAAAGCCCGGCCCGGCCAGTTATGGGCTTTGAGATGGCCCGGCCCGCCTTGGGCCGGGCTAGGCTTGGGCTTGGGTGTCTGAAGCCCGGCCCGGCCCATAGGCCCGGCCCGATTAAGCCCAAGAAAGCCCGGCCCGGCCCACCCACAAAAACCCGGCCCGTTAGGCCCGCATAGATATATAATTATGTATAAATAAGAGTTTAGGATTAGGATTATATCACTTAAATCACATAAATAATTTGTTTCATTTCATTTACTTTTCTTTACTCATTCCTAGTTTATAATTGGATAATTAGCACATTAATTTGTGTCAATTATTAATACAACAATTATATATATATATATATATAAGATGAACAATATATCATATCACTAAACATAATCATATCACGAAACATAATCGTACTACTACCACCAAATATAATCATGTTTTTCTTGAACACATCACCAAACATTTACATATTTATTTATACCATCCTTTAAAAAAAATATCTTTTTGATACTTATTATTTTTTTAAATTATTTCTTAAAACGTATTATGGTCTAATTATGTAATAACCTCAAAAATAATACTTTGTTTTATTATTTTTGTGGAAAATCTTATTAAGTTGTGTGACTTTATTGAGTATTTTATGAATTTGGTTTGATGTGAAAATATTGGAATTAAGTGAGTTTAATCTCAAATTTAGACTAAAATGCCCTTATGATTAAGTTTATGATTTTTTTCGAACGAAGTAGGCCCGTTTCGGCCCGGCCCGTTGGGCTTAGCCCAGCCCGGCTCAATGGGCTTTCTCAAGCCCAACCTATGGGTCGGGCTTGGGTTTTGAATTTTCTAAAAAAATCCGGCCTGGCCCGGCCCGATATTTTCTCTCTCCTCTTTAAAGCACGGCCCGGCCTGGCCCGGCCTAAGCCCGTTAAATTTGGGCCGGGTTAGCCCGGCCCGGCCCATTGACGAGCCCTATAAGCAATCAAAACAATCAGAATTTTGAACTGTGTAGGGCTTTTCCAATTTTTCAAATTTTGATTTGTCAAAACAACCCCGTATAGCCGGGCGGCTATACTCGGATTTTTCAAATTTTTTAAAAAGAAAACGTATAGCCGGTCGGCTGTACTTCGTTTTTAATATATTTTAAAATTAGTTACGCCGCTCGGCTTTACTCGGCTCTATTTTTTTATAGTAAATAGTATAGCCGGACGGCTATACTATTTTTCTAATTTTTTTTAAAATAGTATAGCCGTGCGGCCGTACTCGGCTCTTTTTTTATATATAAAAAAATACGGTTTTCATACTCGGTTCTTTCCTAATTTTCAAAAAGAAATCGTATAGCCGGGCGGCTATACCAGGATTTTTCCAAATTTATAATAAAATAGTATAGCCGGTCATTTAAAAGAAATAGTATAGCCGCCTGGCGCTATCCTGTTTTTCCTAATTTTTGAACCAAAGAAGAATAGTATAGCCGCACGGCTATAATCGGGGTTTTTCAAATATTTTAAAAAAGGAATTAGATAACCATAATGAAACTTGGATATAAGTTCATAAATGATTGCGGTTAAAAACTTGGGTGAATTTTTTGGCCTGGACGGGGAATATTAAATTTTTTGGCATCATTATTTATTTATTTATTTATTGAGTCCAGAGAATTAGGGTTAAGATTTGGGGACAGCAAAAGCAAACAGAGCCCATGATAAGATATCAAAAGCCTAATTCCGAAACAAAAGTAAATGTATCTTAAATAGAGAGAGTCGAACATAACGAATCTTAGGATCACAATGCAATATAATTTAAAGTTTGATGCCACAAAATAATTTAAAAGTTCTTGAGGCAGAGTTGTAGGGTATTTTCTGGGGGCTTTCCTTAGCTTGGGATTCCGGGTTTCGAGTCGTGGAAGTGGAGTGCTATTCAAGTGCTGCTGGGGATCCACTCATACCCTCTTCAGCATCATTAATATTAAATTAAAGATGAGTGGCACATCTTTCGTGAACAGAACTGTGCTGCGGATGCCTTTGCTGCTAAGAGTTTTGAGTTTGATCCTGGTCTGCAGATTTTTGACAAGGTGTCAGCCTTCCTTGTGGATATTCTCGCTGCTGATGCCTGTGGTGCTTCCAGGCCCCGTTTCTTTAGCGCTTAGTTGTTTTCTTTGCCTCAAAAACCAAACACAAATTACCAAAATTACGATCCATTTATTACATTAAAAACCAACAAGTTACAAGCGATTATGTTACAACCACTCACACTCATTTCATTGACGTCAACATTGATGAAAACTGACACTCCAAATTCAAACATGGAAATACATAATGTGACGTGCATGCAGTAGAGAATACAGGGACGATATTAACCAGAGATTTCAATGGCTTTGACATCGGGCTTCTTCACCTCTGCCTTTGGAACAGTGACACTCAGAACCCCATTCTCCATTGCAGCCTTAATCTCGTCCACCTTTGCATTCTCAGGAAGCTGAAACCTCCTCAAGAACTTGCCGCTGCTGCGCTCCACTCTGTGCCACTTGTCGTTCTTGTCCTCCTTCTCTACGTTCCTCTCTCCGCTGATCTGAAGCACTCTGTCGTCTTCAACCTCCACCTTCACCTCTTCTTTCTTCAGCCCCGGGAGGTCTGCCTTGAACAAGTGGGCTTCCGGGGTCTCCTTCCAGTCGATCCTCGTGTTCAGGAAAGCTGAATTTTCCCGGGAAAATTTAGGGAATGTGGAGAGTGATGAGGAGGAAGGGAATGGGAAATCTTTGAATGGCTCCCAGACATCGAGAGAGAAAGGGTCGAAAATGCTGCCTTGTCGGAAGCTGGGGATGATCGACATCGGAAAAATTGATGGGGTTTTTTGTTTGGATGCTGAGAAAGTTTGAGAATTTGAGTCGTTAGAGAACTGCTGCTTTGCTTGATTGGTTTGGGAAAGTAGAGGATTGGTTGGGTATTTAAAAAGAAGCCAAGAATATTCTAGTGAAGACTGGGCCTTGCAAACGCTTCTGTGATTTTCTCTGGAAAATTCTAGGATTCTCTAGAATCTGTGGGCGGGGCTTCTTTGTTTTGTGGACCGCTGGATTTCAAAATTCACTCAACCTAGCCAGCACCATTTTTGTAAACTTGGAAATTCACTTTTTACCCTTCAAAGAAAATTTAAAACTAATGCGATTCATATTGAAGGAACATAAAATAATATAAATATAAAAACTCAATATGAATCAAGAAATGGAATAATTAGGTGGTCTGACAATGTTATTTGAGGATTTGCATGTTTTCCAAATCTTGAACGAGATTATTATTATTTTTTTATAAATCGTAGTGTGGTCTAGTGTCACGTGAAGAATTAGCATGAATTGAAAAAAATAAAAATAAAAATTGCGAGGCTGATTATATTTCTTACTAATTATCTGAAATAAGGGTAAATACGAAACAGTACACAGCAAAAAGAAGCAAGAAATATAAAGGAAGGGTAAAAAAATATGTAGTGCTACCTTGCACATGCTGTGAGAAAACACTATCATCAACGTCGTCGTCGTCGTCATTATCCTCATCATAATCATCATCAGTCTCCTCATCATCCTCTTCGTGGGTGTGGGTTGAATATTCTTCATGGGTTTGTGGTTATACGAATCAGTGTGAGTGTAAATATAACAACGACTCTTGCCAACATGTAACAAGGAGTCTGTCAAATTTTTCCAGTAGGGCCGAGCGGCTATGCTCGGGTTTTCCCTAATTTTTCAAAAGAGATTGTATAGCCGCGCGGCTATACTCGGATTGTTCAAATTTTTTACAAAAGAAATCGTATAGCCGTTCGGCTATACACGGTTTTTCCTAATTTTTCAAAAGAAATAGTATAGCCGGGTGGCCATACCAGTTTTTTAAACGAAATAGTATAGCTGCGGGTTTTCCATGCAGTGAGAAAACATTATCATCATCATGATTAACGTCGTTGTCTTCGTCATTACCCTCATCATAATCATTATCAGTCTCGTCATCATCCTCTTGGTGGGTCTGGGTTGAATGTTCTTCATGAGTTTGTGGTTATATGAATCAATGTGTGAGTGTAATATAACAACGACTCTTGCCAACACGTAGCTTTGCTCGGTTTGAACACTGAATTCAAATCCATGTTGTTAATGTTAATAAGTAATAACAGAACTTTGTTTATGCTCACATAATCGGCATAAACAGGTTGATTGAGATATCGAATTGATATCAGATGTGAATTATTGGTTACACTGTTTATGAATTATAAGATGAGACACTGATTGCTAGATGAGTTTCAACATTTTCATACTGATATTTGGACTCACATTACTTTATTTGGATCCAAATGTAAGAGATTATTACGCAAATAATGAAGTAATTCGATGTGTCCATATTGGTTTACCTCAAAAAGCCAGCATTTGTCCTGCATAGTTGAACTGACTCATCTGATCAACCAACTAGCAAATCATTGTCATTTTCTATTAATGAAGCCTCAATTGCTGAATTATACCTGCGGTAGCATCTGTGATTATTGTTTCGTTTCTCTCTGCTTTTCATGGTTGCTCTAGCTGTTCTGTTTCTTGTTAGTTTAGTTAGTCTGTGGTCCATAAGGGCTCAGTGTTGGTGTGGTTACCTTGGTAGCATTGTATTTCTTGGCCTTTTAGGCTTTTGTACCTATTTTTTGGTTAATCCAATGTTTTGCTCAAATTTGACTTTAAAAGTCAGTAAATGGCCAATTTGTTTATGAAATTAGGATTAAATTCACATTAAAAAGGAAATTAAGAACGTAATTACCTGGTTGCTACATGAATCAATTCATTAATATTTAAACCTGAATTTGGACAATTATTGACAAAAAAAGCTTGAGTTTACATGGATGACAACTGACACTCCAAAATCTAACAAAGAAATACATAATGTGAATTACAGTAGAGAACACAGAGACGATATTAACCAGAGATTTCAATGGCTTTGGCATCAGGCTTATTCGGAGTTTTCAAAAAAAAATAAAAAATAAACGTATAGCCAACCGGCTATACTCGGTTTTTAAAATATTTGGGAAATGGCCCTCAGTGCCACCCATTTTATAATTTTTTTGTCAAAACACCACACCTCCCCAAAATTTTTAAAACTACCACCTATAAATACATTTTATTGTCCACTTATTGCCCACATAACACTTTTCTCTGAAATTGTGTTCTCTCTCTCTCTCTCTCTCTCTCTCTCTCTCTCTCTCTGAGAAACCCAGTTCTTCCTCTTCCTCTTTGTTTTCTTCTCTACCCAAATGAAGTCTTGCAGCAACAGTGAAATGGAATCGGGTGAAATCGTTTTTGAAGTTTCCCAACAATTTACAATTGACAAAGTGGATTTGATAATCTCACCGGTGGGTTCATGGCCCAAACCCCAGATACATCTTAATCAAGACCCCTGACCAAAGCCACATGAATGAGATTGTGAAATCTGATACAAGCAAACCAATCCTCCCCATTTTGCTCGCACAGAAATCACCAACGCTTACACTTTGCACAGAAATGGTGGCTGGCCAATGCCCATTCTATTTTTGGTCAACATGGAAGGACAAAGTAAACGAATCTTATTCATCATCAGCATCCCCTAGATGGACCTAGCAAAAAAAAAAAAAAAACTTCTTTTTTCCTACCCCAATCCTCTTTGTTTTCAATATAGACCACAAGAACAGCAATCGTATTGTGATTTTATTGTGGTTGTATTGTAATCGTATTACTTCTTTATTGCTATGGTATTGCTGTATTGTAGTCGTATTGCTTTTGTATTGCTATGGTATTGCAGTTGTACTATTTTTGTAATACGACTACAATACAGCAATACCATAGCAATAAAGAAGTAATACGATTACAATACAACCACAATAAAATCACAATACGATTACTGTTCTTGAAGACCGTAAATCTAGACTTCAAAACCCCCAAAATTGGACCAAAATGCTCAAACAATGGCCACCTAATGCCAACACATGTTGTCATATTCAGAAAAGATGGTTTTGTTTGGGTTTGTTTAGGTTGCAAAAGGGATTCGAAGAGAGATAGAAATTAGGGTTTGGATTTGGGTAGAGAGGAAAACAAAGAGGAAGAGGAAGAACTAGGTTTTGAGGGCAAAGCTGTGGGTTTTGCAGGTTGTTCTTGATCTTCTTCTTCGTGAGGAAGAAGAAATTGGGGTTTGGATTTGGGTAGAGAAGAAAACAAAGAGGAAGAGGAAGAACTGGGTTTCAGAGAGAGAGAGAGAGAGAACTAAATTTCAGAAAAAGTGTTATGTGGGCAATAAGTGGGCAATAAAAATGCATTTATAGGTTGCAGTTTTAAAATTTTTGGGGAGGTGTGGTATTTTGACAAAAAATTATAAAATGGGTGGCACTGAGGGCCATTTCCCTAAATATTTTAACTGGTAATGCTATACTGGGTTTTCTAATTTTTTTTTAAAATTAATAGTATAGCCGTGCGGCTCTACTCGGTTTCCCCTAATTTTTCAAAAAAATAAATATTATAGCCGTTCGGCTATACGCGGTTTTTTCAATTTTTTTTTTAAAAATGAATTAGATAACCACAATAAAACTTGGATATAAGTTGATGAATCATTGCGGCTAAAAACTTGGATGAATTTTTTGGCCTGTACGGGGGAATATTAAATTTTTTGGCATCATTATTTATTTATTAAGTCCAGAGGATTAGGATTAAGATTTGCGTAAAGCAAAAGCAAACAAAGCCCATGTAAGATATCAAAAGACTCTAATTCCGAAACAAAAGTAAATGTAACTTTAAATAGAGAACTGAGAGAACTGAAAACATAAAAGCAAAATGTAACTTTAATATAACAACGACTCTTGCCAACACGTAGCTTTGCTCGGTTTGAACACTGAATTCAAATCTATGGTGTTAATGTTAATAAGTAATAACAGAACTTTGTTTATGCTCACATAATCGGCATAATCGGGTTGATTGAGATATCAAATTGATATCAGATGTGAATTATTGGTTACACTGTTTATGAATTATAAGATGAGACACTGATTGCTAGATGAGTTTCAACATTTTCATACTGATATTTGGACTCACAATACTTTATTTGGATCCAAATGTAAGAGATTCTTATGCAAATAATGAAGTAATTCGATGTGTCCATATTGGTTTACCTCAAAAAGCCAGCATTTGTCCTGCATAGTTGAACCAACTAGCAAATCATTGTCATTTTCTGTTAATGAAGCCTCAATTGCTGAATTATACCTGCAGTAGTCTATATCGAACAAAACATGATCAATCTTGCAGGACTGTACTTGGGAAGTTCTGTGATTATTGTTTCGTTTCTCTCTGCTTTTCATGGTTGCTCTAGCTGTTCTGTTTCTTGTTAGTTTAGTTCGTCTGTGGTCCATAAGGGCTCAGTGTTGGTTTGGTTACCTTTGTAGCATTGTATTTCTTGGCCTTTTAGGCTTTTGTACCTATTTTTTGGTTAATCCAATGTTTTGCTCAAATTTGACTTTAAAAGTCAGTAAATGGCCAATTTGTTTATGAAATTAGGATTAAATTCACATTAAAAAGGACATTAAGAACGTAATTAACTGGTTGCTACATGAATCAATTCATTAATATTCAAACCTGAATTTGGACAATTATTGACAAAAAAAGCTTGAGTTTACATGGATGACAACTGACACTCCAAAATCTAACAAAGAAATACATAATGTGAATTGCAGTAGAGAACATAGAGACGATATTAACCAGAGATTTCAATGGTTTTGGCATCAAGCTTATTCGGATTTTTCAAAAAAATTTTAAAAAAGAAATAGTATAGCCGACCGGCTATACCGGGTTTTAAAAATATTTTAAGTGGAAATAGTATAGCCGTTCGGCATTACTCGGTTTTTCCTCTTTTTCCAAAAAACTAAATAGTATAGCCGTCCGGCTATACCCGGTTTTTTCAAATTAAAAAAAAA